ATAGTAAGTGTACGGAACTGTGTAAATGCAGGGTTAAAGATAATGTTAGAAGTGGGTATAATTAAAAGGAGGGTTAAGATTTGAGAGGGATTAACATCAGAATTAGCTAACCTAGGGATGCGCATTAGAGTTCTCCATAGGAAAAGCATTGAAAATGTTTTTCAATGCTTTTCTATGGGGAGTTGAGCGATGCTGGAGGTCCTCACACAGCGTGAGGACATCCAGCGACGCTCTAGCACAGAAAACCTGTGCTTTGAAGCAGGAAGTGCCCCCTAGTGGCTGTCAAGTAGACAGCCACTAGAGGAGGAGTTACCCCTTCAAGGTAATTATTGCAGTTTATGAAAACTGCAATAATTACAGTTGCAGGGTTAAGGGTAGTGGCAGTTGGCACCCAGACCACTCGAATGGGCAGAAGTGGTCTGGGTGCCTGGAGTGTCACTTTAATAATGGAGTCCATATGGCATCATGGTGCTCTAGTCTATAGAGAGTCATTGTTACTCAACTACATAAGATTTCAAGCAACTTTATAAACGTACTGTTTGGATAGATATAATCCACAGGTCTCCATCCTGTGTATTATAGTAATAGATGGATGTGAAACATTTTGTGTAGGAATGGCCATTTAATTGCATAATCTTGCTAAATCGTATTAAAATCTAATCATATGCAATAATAAAAACAGGTAACAAAAAGAAGAAGTAAACATGGACAAAAAAGAGCAGCATTACTTGGGACAAACCTGGTGTTAATTCATAAATTACCCAGATATTTTACCTTTACATATCTACATGATCCTGCTCATATAGTCTACTACCATTGGAAGAATACTTTGTTTGTTGGTAGACTTTTGATATACTAGAAAGGCTTCCATTCCTGAAATGAGTTTGCAAATGTGTAATATTATTGGTACTTAATGAATAGGCAATGTAATTTATCAAACATCATCTGGTAAATTCTTTTGTAAAGGTATTTAAACTGCAACCCAATCATTCTTGAAGTATATTAAAAGAAAGTAAAGCCAACATTCAAGTGCTAGTATTTTTATTTGCTTAGACACGCTTTATTTAACTCTTAAAGATGAAGTACAGTACCTGGTTGCTTTCTTGCACAAATAGATTAGGTCATGAATATTTTCTTGCAAAATGAAAATATTAAGCTTTGCTACTTGAAGTAAAACTAAATGAAAATTAATGATATTTTTAGCAGAGAAAGATTACATACACCGGGGAAATTCAATACAAACCTATTAATTATTTAGCAGCTTGTTAATGAGGAAAATGTTGGCATGGTGTTTGAATGAGTGTATTTTATTTAGTGATGAAACTGTAGATCTTTGCAAAGTTTATTAACACCAATAATTGTTTAGGGAAAATATTAGTTAAATATAATTTCCAAATTCCACTTCCTGCAGGGGAAGCAACTGACAACACTAACTATAAATTACTGTTAAAATTATATTTTCATATTCTTTATTTAATTTAAACACTCAACAGGATACTTCAGCTTCTCATTATAATGCTGGCATCTATGTTTTCGTATATGCATTATTATTTCTTGTTCATATTTTCTCCTACTTTACTTAATGTTGAAAGATCCTGAATAGAAGAGCAGAAAAAGAGTATAATCGTGTAAAAATAGTAAAACTATGAAAAATGAGTACCATTACTTGTATGGGTTATCACTATGCAACACATGCAGTAGAAGGCCCAGAAATCCATAACACCATGTTGCAACCCTAAAATAATTCATTTTTGTTAAAAAATAGATGCACAATATATTATACTTTATTGAAATTAAGTTTAATGAGGCAACATTTTAAAACGGTAAAGACCCATAGTACAATGCCTACCTTGCCATTTCTGTGTTACCATTACAGCTCAGCTTATTTTCTGTATCTTTACTAATTTCAGAGATTTGTGTCTTGTATTTCAAGCTATATTGCAAAATGAGAAGCACTTTTTTTTATAAATAAGCACAATGTAAAACTCCATTTTAATGAAAGCAACTAGTTATTTGGTTCAGTCAAGGTCTTATTGTACACAATTTTGCGTTTTTTATAACTTAAAAAAAACCTTAATGGGACACACATTACTTGACAATTTTTGTATTTAAACCAGCTAGCATCCATTTTAAACAAATGTACAAACTAAAACAAAGCATGAAAAACTTTAAATATTATGTAATAAATGACTGCACACCTGGTCAGATTGCATTACTGAGCCAACCTCTCAGCCAGGGGAGTTTCTTAAGCCTCTCCTTCCTCTCCTCTTCCCCACCCATCTCAGTTAGAGACTAGTCCACTAATGACAGAAACAGGGTATCATTGTGCCCCAGCAGCAGTGAGAAACCAGACACTGGTGTCTGATCTTTATGAATCACACTGATAAGATTGTATCTTCTCTCCATGTTGCAAGGCGAAGAGACCTTCCAGCTGCACATATGTAAATCCATCAGTCATGCCCAATGTACCCGGCCAGCATTCCTAGGGATAGGTCAATTATTTTTGTAAGTTCATTTTCTCCCACCTTTAGCGGGTGTAAAGAAGAAGCAGGTAAATATGAAAAAAAAATCATATTTAGCTAAGAAAAAGCTAAAGCTTTTGAATGAGACAGCAGACTCAAAGTAATGAGCGTCCCTTTAATGTCTTTTGATCAAGTGTCTTATTGACCACTGATTTTGAATTTTCTAAGCTCTGGTTCAACTTCAGTTTCATTGTTAATTATTTATTTTGCTGCCTGGATTTTTGGGGGATTTGTTATGTACTCTTGCATGAAATCTTATTGAAATGCCTGCACTGACCTTGCTTGACTACCATTATTGGTTTTGCCTTTTTTCCAATTACCTACATTGTAGTGTTGGCCACACAAACCTTGAGGTTTAATACTTGTTGCATTGTTATTATGAGAAAAAAAAAATACATGGCAACCTTTGTAAACATCTGCAAATTGCATTCTTATAAATAGAAGTGTGATTTCTTTATGACTTATTGGCATTATCAAAGCAAATTCTGAAGCTCAAAGATTGATTTACTAAGCTAAATATTCAGTGTTAAGTCATACAAGGTCACAATAATAATATTTACTTTACAGTTATCGTTATTTTAAAGATAGTTTAATAGATTATTTATTGGCATGTCATTTCAATGGACTATATTCCACCATGTGCTTAAAAAAAAAAAAAAAAAGTGTACAAAAGGAAGTTAATATTGCATTTGTTAAAAAATATAAAACAGACTGCTTGCACCGAAAGATATCTAATTTAATATCTACATCCACTGCTTACAATTATATCTTCTAAATAAGACTGTTAATAAACAAAAAACCCAAACAATAGGTTATTTCAATGGGGGAACTAATGCAGTGAGGGCCCTGGTGCAAGAAATTATTTTGGGCCACCCCTAGCACAAGGGTGGCCAAAAGATAGATTCCCACCTGTTGTACATATTCCATGATGCCTCGCCAGCTGGGGATCTACCATTTGCTCATCCTTGCAGGGTTTTACTTGTGATTAGTTTTTGTGGGTTTGAATGTATTTATGACTATTTATTACAGGCATTTATAAAGGGCCAGCATATTCTGCAGAGATGTAAGCATATTTATTTATGGACTATGTGTGTGTGTGAAATCAGGCATCTACTTGTGTATAGTGTTGGCATTTGAATGCAGTTGTGTTAATGTTTACTGTTGCTACTTAAAAGCAGTGAAGTACATGTCTAGTGTGTTTGAATGAATGGGTGTATTTGTGTGCTGTTTTGTTGTTTGTATATAATGCTATTTTTTATGTAGTGTTGGCATTTGATAATATCAGTGTGTTTGTATGTAGCTTTGATGTTTAAATGCTGGGATATATGTACATATACACATATGTGGCCACACACAGTGACACAGAAATACAGAAAATACAGATACATACATGTACCCACACTGACACACACAGATACAAACAGATACCTACACAGACACATATATACAGATATATACCTTCACAAACACATACATTTTCACACACACAGAAACATTTCACGCACACCAGCACACATACAAACATATACCTACATATGTATACATACACACTGACACACACACACATACATACACACACTAGCACATACACACACATACACACAGAGGCTGCACACACACAGACTGCACAGAGATAAACACTTCCTCCCATCATATTAAAATGGCCCAGTCATGTTGCCAAAGGGCCGCAGCACTTGACCTGGTCCCCAATGAGACACAGCTTGGGGGGTGCCTGGATTCATTCTGACATTGCCCATACTGCAGGGGCCTGGTCAGGCTCTTAGAGGGTCACAGCACCCCTGTTTAGCAATAGTACCCATCAGTTGGCAAGGGACAACCAACAGACCCCCAAGTTGTGTGTGCCCCCCGGGTGTAGACGCACTGGCTGCTTCGGCAGTAGTTCTGTCACTAGGTTATTTATAATCTCACTAGAATGCTAACATTGGCGGTATTTTCAAGAACTCCTCTTGGTCATGTGCATAGGAATCCAATTGGCATTTCTTGGATGTCATATAAGAAAATTATTAAAATGTTGGCTTCTAAAGATTGATGACTGGTATCATTAAAAGGGACTTTCATCTATTCTGCTGGAACAGGCTTTCTTTCTTTTAATTTAAGTGGCTTGTGGGTTCCTTATTCTGAAATGCATGACTTTGCAAATATCTGTATTGAATCTCATGTACCACTTGCCTGCTCAGTCCCCCAATTTATCCAAATCCCTCTGTAGAGAAGCTATATAATGTTTAGATGGTATTTTCTTACCTAGTTTTGTGTTATTTGCAAACACTGACAAATTACTTTCAATGTCCACTTAAAGATAATTTATAAATAGATTAAAGAGAAGTGGAGTGGGGAGCTTGGCTATCTGCCAAGCAAGATGGCCGCTAAAATCTTAGCTCCGGCACATGGGCGCTACAAAATTGAAGCACTGAGAAGCTGAACCTTATCTATTACCTCCAAAACTGCTCATGTCTCAAGGCAAGCACAGAAAGGCGACATCCAAGGATGCCAAGTTAAATTTCTTTAACCAGAAATCTGGCCTAGCCGCACATACTATGCAGGACACTTCCCAAGATGGCAGAGGCTCATCGGATGTCAACAGCCCACCATTTGAACCAGTGGACACCAAACAGGGTGACAAGATCACTAGGCAATACCTTCACGAAGCCCTAGATGCCTTATCCACCAAACCGATACACTCCTGGACAGCCAGAGATCTCCTGGAACTAGGTGTGAGAATGGCTCACACAGAAACCAAAATGGCTGAATATGCAACTGCCCATAATGATCTTGCAGACCATGTGCAACAACTACAACAGCACATATAAGCTCTGGAGTCAAAGATGATGGATGCGGAGGACAGATCTCGATGGAACAACCTCTGCTTTAGAGGTATTCCGGAAACAGTCGATCCGGACGACTTACCTCGATATGTCCGCAGCCTCCTGAATGCGGTAGCCCCTGAGGTGCCGGCCGATATGCTGCTACTGGACCGAGTCCACCGGGTTCACCGGGTCCACCGGGTCCAGTGCCCCAAACACCTGGCGGAATCTGCACCCAGAGATGTCTTGCTACGCGCCCACTATTATCATGTCAAAGAAATCCTTCTGAAAAGCAGTCGCACAGCAGTCTTACCAACCGACTATGCATGTGTGAAAATCTTCGTGGACCTATCCGCAGCAATGCTCAGAAGACATAAAACCTTCCATCAGGTGACTGCCACTCTCCGCGACAACAATATCAGATACAGCTGGGGATATCCTACCAAGCTGTTGATAACAAAGAATGGGACGCTCACTCTCCTGCAAACACGAGAAGAAGGCCTGAAGATATCACCTACAAAGACCCTGCCGGCCTCACCTGACCCAGGAATGCACAGCCACTTAGACGGAGTAGCAGTAAAAGGAACACACTCTATACACTGTGAATTCTCCAGGTTGCCGGTTTCCGCAAGTATTGCAACCCCGTCACAACTCATAGTTAATTTTAGCATACTAGCCCCAAAGGACCTTACCTCCCATTGTTAATTGTTAACTAGCAATGCTAACTGTTTAACTGTTTACTGCCATTATATAGTAACATGCATGTATCTCATCATCACACGGCGGGCGGGAGAAATACCCCAACTCCACACAACATTGCTATAGAGGAGAGGGCTAAGCCGGATTGAGTCTGGGACCAATTTAGGGGCCCAGATGGGCAAAGTAATCCGAGGAACTGGTGGGCTCTGCAGACCACCCCCATGAAGAGCGGGACGAGTGTAACCCACAGCCCCCCACTGCCTCCTGATTGGGACACACGCCCCTGAAAGTAGGGGTCCATAGGCTCCCTTAAGCAACAACAACCCTCGGAAAACCCCATGGCAACACAATGCCCAGTCACATTTTAACCGGGTTGCAAACTGAGATAATTCCTCCAATGCTAGATGAGTCAATAACCTACCCCATGTTATGTTATTTTTAAATGTTACGATATTCTCAGTGTTACGTAATTCCTAAGGTCATACATATCGATGTTTCACTTCTCACCATCACGACATCAACCTACCTAAAAGTCCATGTAGCCACAAATACCATATGGTAAATACGGATACCCCCATGGTGCACCCAATCTGCACCGTTTCCCCTTGGTGGGGAATATTGTGCATACTGTCTTTCATCCTTCCCTGGTTGCTCGGCAACCTACCCCTTCCACCCCAGCCCCCTTGTCCCCCTTACCCATAGAGAGCTTGAAAATGCAACCCCACCAGCAAAGATCTCACAATAGGTCGCATACTGCCATCTGGCTGACCTACCTCCGGAAGACGTGTCAATATATTATACAACCATGGCTCTGACACACAACACTCCCGCTTTGGAACCCACCAATATGAAAATATATTCTCATAACACCCAGAGCCTCAACACCCCTCATACGTGCCGCAAATGAATAGAAGACCTTAGGCGGGCCTCGGCAGACATTGTATGTTTACAGGAAACACACTTTGTTAAACTCTGCATCCCGTCCTTTGGCATCAAGGACTACCTTACTCAATGCAGCACACACATCCAAAGCCAGAAGTGTATCCATACTCATCCACAAATTATTGTCCTTCGAGCTACTCAAACTTGTAACTGACAGTCAGGGACGATATCTGATAATATTGTACACAATCAATGATACCACTTACTATTGTAAACATATACAGCCCTAACTCCCAACAAAGGAACTTTTTACATAAAGTCTTATCTAAGGTGGACCCCGTCAGAACAGAACTTATCATGATATGTGGAGACTTAAACCACTGGATACGTCCCTACACCCCTCTGCATCTAGACACCAGCACCTTAAGCCACAATGTCAATCCCTGACCAAGTTACTACTTGAGTTTGGATTGTATGATACATGGCGGGCATTGCATCCATTTGACCGCTCCTATACCCATTACTCCCAAGCACATAAAACGCACTCAAGGATAGATCATATCTTGACCACTGGTCCCCTCCTGAAAAAAAGTGATACTTAGCGAGATAGGTGACATCCTTTGGTCTGACCATGCACCTAATATCATGACCATATCTATGCAATTCTCCTCTAGAGGCTTTGCCTCTTGGAGACTAAATTAATCCTTACTAAAGAATGACACTTTCAAACAGAAAATGTACACTGCGCTCACTAACTATTTCTCTCATAACCCCCTGATGGTATGGCAGGCGCACAAGTCAGTCATGCAAGGCCTTTTTCTGAGCCGGGCCTCTTACCTCAAAAAACAATCGCCCAGGGAGCATGTGACATTACTTTGTGACCTCAGAGATGCTACAGCAAGGCACTAAATACAACCCACTGACACTCTGCTGGCCTCTATTACCAACCTCACCAACCGTATAAATGACATGTCCATGACAAAAATGACATACATGATGCAAAGGCTAAAAATATGAGGGTACCACCAAAACAATAAAATGGCTAAACTCCAAGCTACAAAACTACAGCTCAAACAAGGGCACACAAAAATCCCCTACATACTAAATAACGAGGGGAAAAAACGTCATAACCCACAAGACAAACCCGACAAATTAGCGAAATACTATGAATCCTTATATAACTTGAATGAGGATGCCAATACATATCAACCCGCAAACGTGGACATAAACAATTTTCTAGCAAAAATAAAAATGCCGACCCTCTCTCAAACCCACAAAGATAGTCTCCAAACTCCCATAATGGAACAAGAGATAGTTCAAACGGTACTGGAACTCCCCCCAAGAAAATCGCCAGGACCGGATGGCTTCCCAAATACCTATTATAAATAGTGATGTACCGAACGGTTCGCTGGCGAACGGTTCGCCGGTGAACGGTTCCTGGCGAACATAGCATGTTCGCGTTCGCCACGGCGGGCGAACATATGCGCGGTTCGACCCGCCCCCTATTCGTCATCATTGAGTAAACTTTGACCCTGTACCTCACAGTCAGCAGACACATTCCAGCCAATTAGCAGCACACCCTCCCTAGCAGACCCTCCCACCTCCTGGAAGGCATCCATTTTAGATTCATTCTCAAGCTGCATGCTTAGTAAGAGGAGGGAAAGTGTAGCTGCTGTTCATAAGATAGGGAAAAGCATAGCTAGGTTAGGGTTAGGGTATGCTTTTTTTTAATTTATTTTTTCTATGTAATGTAATTGCTCTTAGTTGTCTGCCACTGCTGCCAGCTTCTGTGTCAGGCTCACAGTGCATACTGTGCCCATTTCCCCAGTCAGTGCCACCACTTACATCTGGTGTCACAATAGCTTGGATTTAAAAACAAAAAACTTTTTTCACTGTTATAGATTGAATAGCAGTCAGTTGTCTGCCACTGCTGCCAGCTTCTGTGTCAGGCTCACAGTGCATACTGTGCCCATTTCCCCAGTCAGTGCCACCACCTACATCTGGTGTCACAATAGCTTGGATTTAAAAACAAAAAACTTTTTTCACTGTTATAGATTGAATAGCAGTCAGTTGTCTGCCACTGCTGCCAGCTTCTGTGTCAGGCTCACAGTGCATACTGTGCCCATTTCCCCAGTCAGTGCCACCACTTACATCTGGTGTCACAATAGCTTGGATTTAAAAAAAAAAACTTTTTTCACTGTTATAGATTGAATAGCAGTCAGTGTCCCACTGCTGGTGTGTGTTACGCTTACAGTGCATACTGTGCCCATTTCCCCAGTCAGTGCCACCACTTAGATCTGGTGACACAAAGCTTGGATTTAAAACTTTTTTCACTGTTATAGATTGAATAGCACAGTGTCCTTAAAGCGGGTGTGTGCGCTTACCAGTGGATACGGTGACCAGTGCCACCACTTACATCTGGTGACACAATAGCTTGGATTTAAAAACAACCCTCTTTTTTCACTGTTATAGATTGAATAGCAGTCAGTGTCCTTAAAGCGGGTGTGTTACGCTAACAGTGGAAACGGTGACCAGTGCCACCACTTAGATCTGGTGACACAAACTTTGATTTAAAAACGAAACACTTTTTTTCTCTGTTATAGATTGAATAGCAGTCGTGTGTTACACTAACAGTGGATACGGTGACCAGTGCCACCACTTATAT